CACACACATGCACTCCACCTGCTCAGTTCCATCGAGTGACTTTTGCACAGATTTTTCAGGAAGGAGAGAGGAANTCCCCGCCCATGCACACACATGCGCGCTCCACCTGCTCAGTTCCATCGAGTGACTTTTGCACAGATTTTTCAGGAAGGAGAGAGGAAGGGAAAGTAAGAGAGGAAGAGGGACCATAACTGACTCTGGAGGAAAGAAATATTGGTACGTATTTCACTGCTNAGGAGAGAGGAAGGGAAAGTAAGGGAGGAAGAGGGACCATAACTGACTCTGGAGGAAAGAAATATTGGTACGTATTTCACTGCTAACCTCTCCCACCAGTGACCGAGCCCCCGGCTCCATTCCTCAGTTACTGGCTGAAGGAGAAGAATGTGCTTGGTAGTAATCCCACAAACGCCACTGGTTTCCTTTCTGTGGCTATTTTTTGCGAGAGAGAGAGACAGGAAAAGATTCCCAAAGGATTTGGTGAGGAGAAATGCCATTTTGCTAATAATCAGTAGGGAGCTGTATTAGTTTCCTGGGGCTGTCCTCGCAGAGCTCAGCATGGAAAGGGTGCGGCCCAGGTTTGGGGAGGAACCGCCCTCGGGGCGATACCTGAAATAGGCCAGGCTCGGTGTACCATGAAGTGTGAATCTGAAGAGAGCCAAGTGCTGGACCACAGGACGGAAGAGGAGATAAGAAACCAGAGCAGGAAGCTTTAGAGTGGAGAGTACGGAGTGGAACCCGGAGCAATTTTCTGACCCACTGGGACATGAATGCAGGAGCTGTTTACAGTTTCTCAGCAGCCTTAGCCCTGGGCAATGAGGGAGCTGGTAGGGTAACCAAACCAAGAGAGGCACTGGGAAGTCAGGACTTTTTGGAAGCAAATAACAGAAACTCTAACTCAAATAAGCTTAAATTTAGGAAAAGGAGTTTATGGGTGCATGTAGCTGACAGGGGCAAATCAGCTTCAGGAGCACAGGACATCTTTGGGTTTAAATGATACAGTGCTTTCCATCTGGTGTCCGCTCAACTCTGCCTCCCTCTTTAGTTGGCTACATTCCCCCCCCCCCCC